ATTTGAATCTTGAAAATTTCAAGTAAGTGGATAATGTCCCAATTAATTTACATATTTGCAAATTTCCTTTTATCAATTATTATTTTCAACAATTTACAATTATTAATTTATGTTTCCCTAGTACTGATTATTGTTGTTAATTAAATTTCTTTTGCTCTTGAAGTTGTCATAATATATACTTATAAGATCAATGAAACTACATTTATAAATCCTAGTATTATTTTATTCAATAAAGACATTTATGAAAATTGGTGAAAAAGTTTGTGAAACATTACTTGTGAATTTTCATATTTAAAAAGATTGATATTTTATACAGTTCATGCTAGTTTAATATTGAGAAGAGAAAATTTTATTTTGATAGTGATGATTTTCTCGCATGTTTGAAAATGAATTTGAAGGGGATTTTATGCAAAACATTAGTTGCTAACTGCAGTTTCATTAGTCCTTAGCATGTCATAGTTAATGACTAGCTAGTTTGTTTTCGTGAGCTTTGTTCTCACGTTTGTTATTTATAGATCTTGTACTTATGTTTGTTTTCATGGCTTCAAGCCGCGTTTGGTTAGCATTACCCTCATGAACTGTGTCCACATTTGTTTCGTAAGTCAAGCTATGTTTGGTTGTTTACTCTCGTAGACTGTGTGTCTACATTTGTTTTCGTGGCATAAGTTGCGTTTGGTTATTTATTCTCATAGACTATGTGTCTATGTTTGTTAATTGTTCTGATAAGTCCTTATAAATTTTAAATCCAATTATTTGGTGATTTTATTTTCCATTGGTTCTTATTTAGTAATTTATTTATAAATATTTATTTCATTTATGTGCTTTCTTGAAATCAAGTAATATTATCATTTGTTATGATATTTCAATGATTTAATATTTTATTTGAAATTTTATAGAGCCATTTTATTATGAAGGTTATTAAATTTTTTTTATGAAAATTGTTGTCTCTTTGACTTGCATAATTATTTCAAACTTTATATTTTACTCATGTTCTATTATTTATTGTTGGGACATTGTTTATTGAAAAATTATTTTTGATCTCAGATATCCTAGTTGACGTCAATCCTCCTACTAACCCCTAAGAACTTATAGATGTGCTGGGTGAAGAACTGATTTTAAATTTTCCTTTTGATGTAACTATAAATGCTTATGTATTTTATGTTAGAGAAGTCTGGTTAGGTGCTCCACATATGCTATATTTAGGGTTTTTATTTTGGTATATATGCTGTCTGTTGGCTAGAGGGAACTAAGCTCCTTATTGACATGATATTTTGTGAATGTTTTTGGTATTGTAAAGTTTCAAAAGATCCTATTTACAAAGGGATTTATCGAAATTTTTACAAAAATTTTAAAACTTTATTATAATGACCAATATCAAAAATGTTAAAATTTCAATATAAATTTGATTATACTTTAGCAATGGAATGAATTTAAGTTAGAGGCTTGCAGGGATCTATTATATGGTTCACCTCCTATGTCAGTTACCTTTTATTTTTAAAGCGTGACAATATGGATTGAAAATCATCTCCCACTATTAAATCTTAACCATAAACTCATAAATGTAAAAGAAGATGGGAGATGAATGAGTACTCACCTTTGGTGATTATAGCTTTCAAAATACTCCTAATATCATCCAAGAACAAACCCTAGCAGAGCTTGGCATACTTTCCTCATTTTCTCCTTTCTCTCCTCTTTATTTTTGTCTTAGTTCACGACTGGTATGCTGCAGAAAATGGTTGTGCGCTACGGCAAACGCTGCATGCGTTAGCGTCGCAGCGCATGTCACAGAGAGGCCCCTTTTCTCACATTAGTTATGTCTGTGTGTTGCAATGGATGTGATTCACACCACGGCATATGGCACAACAGCAGTCATCTTTATTTCCTTCTCCTTCCAATGCCCAATAATTAGGGCTAAAATACAATCAAACATACTTGTTAAACCTTTTTGATCACACACCACTACAATTACTTAACTATCATAATTAAGCTTAGTTAATTAGGGGATTAAAATTCAGGATGTTACATGAGTTGTTAGCAAATAGCTCGAATTGTCATATGGTTGCTATCGTTTAGGTGTTTAATTTGCTAGGAGACATGCTACATAATATGCCATTCCCTGCATCCTATGTATGTATTACTGTTGATGTGCCAAAAGATTTGAACTATCCACTACTTATTCCCACCAAGGACGCAGGGATTGTTGGAGAGGCAATGGGTAGTTTTATTGGATGACAAGCTAGTCAAGTTAGGATGCCAAGTCTAAAAAAAAAACTAGTAAAGATGCACAGTCCAAAAAAAAAGATGATACCTAAATCTAAGCTTTCCTCAAAAAAGGCAATCTCTCATAAAGCTGTGCTTGAACAAGAGTCTCAATTGCCAAGCCAATATAGAAATTTACTCCAGGCATATGTAACAATTCATAGGTCTAATCCTCCGATCCTGTAAATCTTGTTTGAGGCTAGTATATATGGTGAAGACTGATATGACATGCTTTCGCTTGATATTATTGATGAAATGCTTCAACATGATATGACCAGTCTCACTATTCTCAACTTCTATATACGGTAATTTTTTTTTCATATATGAATAGTTAATATTTTAAATATAAACTAATCCATTTGTAATATTTATAATAGGTGTTTATATGAAAAATTTGTTATCCCTTTCGATCTACAAATGAAGTTCATCTTCATTAGTCCTCATGAAGTGGGTGCATATGCCTTAATTAAAAGCAACAAAATTTTAGAACAAGCAAAGGCATTAAGTGAAAATTTCAAAGCAAGGGCTCAAAAGGAAAAATTATTCATAATATTATATTGTCAAGGGTAAAGTACTTTTCATTTATCTTAATAATTTTTTTATTTTTAATTTAATCTATTAATTATAATTTTGTAACACTTGTTAATACTATTAGGGATCATTGGATGTGGATTGCTGCCGAACCATTCAACAACACTTCAAAAATATATTATCTCGATTCTCTTGGAGGGCAACTAAAGAATAGACAAATTTTATTAGAGTTGATTAATACATAAGTGTATAAAGTATTTTACAAATTTATTTGTTTATTTAAATTCCATATTAATATATTTTTTACTATTTTATTAGGGCGATTGTGTTATGCTGCACTAATACAAAGCAATCAATTCCAAGGTTCTTTACAAATTTTGATTTAGCCTACACTTGGAGTATAAAAAAGGTGATTGGAATTATTTATTAAATTAAAATATAATGCATTGATACATATTCGTCAATTTTTTAATTTTTAGTGTCCAAGATAAAATAAAAATAGCTTAGATTGTGACTTCTGTGTCATGAGGTTCCTAAAGGACATTATTATCAATAACGAGAGCATAAATTTTAAGATGGTATGTCAATAATATTCACTCTTAAATTACAAAAAAATTTAATGTTTTAAAATTAATTTATGGTGGATCATTTATATATTGCAATACTATGACAATTTTTATGTTAAAAAATTCAAGAACGCAGAAATAAATAAAATAATTGAAGAATAGTGTCAATACATTTTTTAAGTATGGACTTCATACAAAGAAAATCAATAGAACTACCTAGAAGAAAGTAGCTAGGATATTTATATTTTTAATATATAGTTTATTTTTAAAAATAGTTTACTTTATAAAGTTACATTTGTTTACTTGATATAGATTAGTTAAGAGATGTTTACTGATTAATTTTAAAATTGAATACAATGAATTTCATTGATGTTCAAATTTGAAATGGCTATTTGCTACTATTTTGATTTTTTTTTTGCAGGAGAGTTGGTATAAAAATAGCTCTCATATTGAAAAGAAATCATATAATAAATGATTTACCATCATATATTGTAACTTTAAATAATGGGTAAATTATAATAAAGTCCATTCCAAAACTTACCATACTTTAAATGACAATTTACCCGTCATTTATATCCTATAGCTCAGACTTTTGTAAAAATTTTATTTTAAATGATGATTATATAACTGTTATTTATTGAGAGAACTTTAAATATCAGCCACATAAATGATGCGTATTAACCATCATTTATGGGCTAAAATAATCATTATTTATTTTTTTTTGTAGTAGTGTAATGAGAAAAGGGACAGAGCAGATAAGTTTTGATGGAAATTTTATTTCCATTAGGACTTCTTCTGGTGTCATTAACTTTTGTTGGTTGGTTGTCTGTTTTCTTATTTGTTTTTATAGGTACTGCTCATTTGTATTCTTGTTTGTTCTGTCCCTTGTTTTAGTAGTTTGGATTAGCCATGTATCACAATGCATTGGTTCTTCGATTTTCTACTTTTTTGGATACTATGAACCCAGAACAATTAGATGCTTTTGTGTTTTTCTCTTTTTGGGTGGCTAATTATGTTAATATCCACTACTTTTTCCATGAATTATTTTGCATATTGTGTTGGACGCTCGTCAGTTTGAACTGTGGATGATTTCCTGTTTTTAAAGAATGTCGAGTCCTTGCATCTCTTATCCTCAGTTTGATAATCTAATGTTAGACATCATTTGCCGATTTGCCTCTCTCACGAAGAAAGGACTTAAGGTTTGTTAAATGTGAAATCCAAACGAGCATTTAGATTTTCAAATAGTAAACGTTGGATATTTAAAGTCAACATGAAAAATGCTACATTTTGATTATGACAAAAATGCCAGCATAAATAATTTAGGATAGTGCTCACAAAAATGCATCTTTAGATATAATTAGGAATAATATAGTATTTTTAAAATTATATTTTAATATTTAATCCTTCTAAATAATAATTATTTTTAATATTCTCTTCATTAAATATTATTTACGTCCTTCATTGTAATTTTTCCATTTTAAAAATCTTAAAATCCTTCACCTATCATAACTTCATCTACCCACGGCCTCCATGATCCCATTCCCTTGGATTTCTCATCCTTAACACCTCAAATAAAATCCGTAACTCATCACACACTATTTATTTATAAATAGTAATCATTAATCAATATTACCACTTGCAAACTGAATCCAATTATAAGAACAACTGGCCAAGTAGTTATTTTCATTATAAAATGACAGTATTCTGCAGAGTACAATTCATGAGCTAGAGAAGCCTTACAAAAACAAGGACTTGGTTTAACAAACAAGGGGGGGGGGGGGGGGGAAAACCCAACACAGGCTGTAATAGAGACCAAAGCCCTTGCACGCGAGACTCACACCACTTGAATTGCCTTAGACAGCCATACTCATCAAAAGAAAAATCAAACCGAACTAAACCATCACACAAAAGCTACAACACTCAACAGAAGATCATCCAGCAATACAGAATAAGACCCAACATATACCATATCCATAAGTGGAAACTACCACCAACCGTGACTTCCTCGGTGACCGTATTCTCAGGGAACTGTAGCCAGAAAAGATGACATCGGAAGGATGCCAAAAAGGGTTTGGAACAAGCAGTCTTGTAAATGTAGACTGCTTGCAAAAAAAGGATTGGCCAAAGTTCCATGGAAAACAACCAAGTCACCAAAACCACCACCACCATGTCTGTTGTTTGTTGATAGGGCATATCATCAGAGCCCAAAAAGTTTGCTGAATATCACTTCCTGTGAGCTGAAATAAGCGGTATGTATCTATTTTTATTGTCTTGTTCATGCTAGAATATCACATCTCCACAAGCTTTCTATGAGCAACTCGATTGAACTGCTGGTAATTGAGTTGCAGTTTTGAAGATTCAATCCTACCAAGGTCTTGCCCAACTTTGTCAGGAATGGAATGCTTTGGTTTGATACTTCAGAACAGCCAGACAAGGAAAGAACTTGCAAACTTAACTTCCTGGCACCGGATAGGATGGCTAAACCAGCATCAGTGATTGCACACTTTGAGACATCCAGATCATTCAATAGCATGCAGTAGTGTGCAATGGCAGCCATGCTTGCATCAGTTATCCTCCTGCATCCATCAACATTGAGTACTTCCAGGGTTTCACCATGTAACCGAGCCAAAGCTGAAATGATGTTGTCTGTCAAGTTCCAGCATCCAGTAAGATTCACACTGACAAGTCCTGCCTTACAATTCTCCAATAGAGGGAGTAAACCAGCATCTGTTATGCCATAAAGCCCAGTAAGATCAACATGCTGAAGTTGGGGGCATAACTTCCCAACCATAGCCAAGCTACCGCTACCGAAGCCAGGGCAGTTTCTTAGAGACAGTGAACAAAGAGATTCACATGGAGAAAGCATAGATACTTCGCAACCAATATCCTTAATTCCCATGCACTTCACAAGGGTAAGGGACTTCAACTTTGTTTTGAAGTTTGAAACAGCACCAATAATTCCAGACTGGGTGATCCTATTACACTCCTCCAACTGCAAGCTCTCGAGAGATACCGCGGCTTTGGCAAATTCCACCAGTCCTCCATCAGATACAAAGCAACACTTGCGAAGGCACACCTGCTTCAGATTCCAGCACCCTCTGCCGATGGCTTCGATGCTTGCATCAGTTACCCCACGGCAAGAAGTAACTGTCAATGAGACTAGTTTCTGTAGACCTTGAGCTATGCCCATGGCCCAAAAGCCCCTTTCACTGACATTTGGCAGACCACTGAGGACCATGTTGGCAACTTCCTTTCCATAGTGGCCAATGACAGCCAGAGAAAAATCTGTTATGTTCAAGGACTGAAGCTTTACCTTTGAAAGGTTGGATGCTGATGATAGCAGACTTGATACTCCATGATCACCAACAAGAGAGCAGTCCTTAATAGAGATGCACTGCAACTTAGGACAAGACTTTGCAACAGCTTGCAAGCCTTCATTCCCAATCTTTGTACATGATTCAATATTTAAGGTGGTCAAATTTGGGCAACCCTCGGCTATTGCGATCAAGCTCTTATTGCTGATTGAGGAAGACTGGCACAGGTCAAGCTTCTCCAACATATGACATCCTTTGGCTATCTCAGACAGACCTTCGTCCCCAACCGAAGAGACATTCCACAAAGAAAGTGATCTTAGAGAAGGACAACCATGAGCAACAGCTGAGAGGCCAATATTAGAAACACTTCTTACAGAGTTGCTACCTCTGATAGACAGCTTCCCCAGTCCTCCACGGCCACTAGTCCCTACTGCAATCGCAGCAAGTCTTACGTCAGTTGCCTTCTTCCCTTCCAAACACCTGGTAAGGTAGCCATCACCTTCAATATCTTGATCCTCACCAGCAAAGATCGTTTCCATGTCAGAGGAAGTAGGCTTATCGGATTTGCAGATTTCAGCTTTGCATATACTGCTCATAAGATTAAGCCAATGTTTAGATACACAGGCACATAAGCTCCTCTCTTTGCTGCTGGGGAGCCGTCTGAATATCTCAAAGAGACATTCATCTGGAAGAACCTCAATAGTTGGCTTCTGAATTTGATTTTGCTCAAAGTGAAGATTTTCATATGTAAATGGCGCATTGATGCGAGCTCGCTTGTTAGGACGATAGTACACGTCAAAGTTGGGACCAACAGTGCACAAAGAACCCCCAAGATAGAGTTCGTCATCACCTGATAAAAAATATTCATAAAACCAAAAATAAGCCACCCAATTGTTGCGGTTCATAAAGACACTATCCCCTGGAATAAAATCACTCTATTTCTCCTATAGACAGATAAGGTATTCCAAAAAATTTCTATTGTAGAAATACTTTCCCACCCAAATACAAAACAATAACACATCTGTCACATATTCTTAATGGAAGAAGAAACTCTATGATTTCCATCTATGTATAGCAAAATAAAGATATCATTTTTTCTAAAGCTAACATGTCAGGGCATAAGGCAAATCGGCAAGAGGAAATCAAATTCTAGTATATCAAACACTACAGACCCTACGCAGATTACAAACATGGCTAAAAAAAGGAACTAATCAAGGGAAAAAAATTGTAACAACCATCGCAGACCAAAAGTAACGGATAAAATCGCATGAACCTAAACATGTCTAAGTCTATTCAAAGCCATCGAGAATCGGAAATTGAAAGACAAAAATTCATAAAACCCAGAAACGTACCACTGCAATTGACGAGGGTAGGCATGACGACGACAGAGAAAAAGCAATACCCAACAGCTGAAAATCCTCAGAAAGAGCAAAAAGAACTGAAACTATGATCAAGAACAACGCAGAGACGGCGATCAAAGCTTGAAGGGCTAAGAACATTAGAGAGCAAAAACCCCACGAAGCAGGGCAAAAAAGAAGAAGAAGAAGAAGAAGAAGAAGAAGAAGAAAGAAACAATGTTTGAGAGAGATATGATGTAAGTTTGTAGCGTGGAAAAGTATTATATTGAGTTTGAGAAATGAAGAGATGAATGGGTCGGCCACAGATACATTAGAGTGAGAATGGCTCTTGCAGATGCAATGAATCCTTCCAGAGACAAAGTGTTCCCCACCCTTTCCTCTCTCTTTCTCAGTCCAACCACCTCGGCAGCATCCCGCTGCCAATTCCATGAACCCAATTACTAAATTACCAAACTCATTATTTTATTATGGACCAAACCTCATATTTTATTGACGAAAGAATAGTTTGGTCGTTCTCTCCCTTATGACTAACCTTATCTTGAAAACATTGTGATTTTAGTTTTATAATTTCTTTTGATTTTTATTCTTTCAAAATTTTAAATTTAAATTACAAATATTTATAATTTATTAATTTAATATATTTTTTATTACTTACATATATTCTCATATTGAAAATATACATTCAAAACTCCCTCCTAATAAGATTTGAACATTGATTCATCCAGTATAAAGAACTAACCCATTATGCTAGATAATTCAATATATTTTATTAAATGTTATAAATATTTTTAAAAAAATGCTATAAATATTTATTATATTTATCAGGTAGTTTTTTTAACTTGATATCTAAAATACATGTGTTTTCTACAACAATTATAAACAAAAGAATAATAAAATAAAATCAATTCCTCTGTGTATGATAATATATTTAAAAAATATACAGAAAAAGAAAAAATAAATTGTTAAATTGTGATAGTTCAACTACAAAATTTTAAATAATATAAACGAAATTAAAATATTTAAAAAATAATTTAGTATAATTTCATAATATTTTTTAAAATGTCACAAAATTAATTGAAATTAAATTTATCTACAATTATTTTCATTTTCTAGATGAACAGAGCTACAAAAAGACCTAATAGTAAGAGTAATACAATCATCTAATTTTAAGGGGGAAAAAATTAAAAATAAAACTAGCAATATTCATAACTAACTTGACATCAATTTTTTTTTCCTCCTTTGAACTTTCTTGGTCTGGTTCCGTGTCTCATGTCATCCTCTCTTTGCCAATTTATCCCAACAAATTATTTAGAAGAATTAAAATGGTAGTAGACTTTCTAATCGTCTTTCTTTGACAAAATATTGCTGCAAAAGATCGTTAAATTCATGAGTTTAAATAAACTCATGACAAAAATATAAATCTGTATTACAAACTCAGATCGTAAACTCATAAGAGTTTATTTGTATCAATAAATAGCCATTAAAATATAATTATAATTTAATTTAAATATATTAAAAATATAAATCATTGAAATTAAATCTATATACATTGCTGAATTATCATATACAAGATATTGAAATTTTAAAATAGGAAAACTTATTTTTAGTATTTTTGTTTTCCTTTTTAGTAATATTACTTTTTGTCTATCAATTTTTTTTTTGTTTGAACCAAGTCTTATAATTTTTATGAACTGAATTCTTCATAGTATATTCTTTACTCACTCAACTCGAAAAAAAAAATTGAAGTGCTTAACAAGTTTAACTAAGCTTGCATCTAATCTGATTTTATAAATTAATTGATACGATTTTGTAAGTTAAAAATATAAAAATAATAAACTTGAATGTAAACTTGTGAGTTTAACTGAGTTTGTATTTAATATAAATTTATAAGTGAGTTGACATGATTTTAAAAGCAAGAAATGAAAAAATAAAAAACTCATAGAGTCAACTCAGGAGTTTGACAACTATGGCTACAATAATTCTTTTTTATCATCAACTTTTAAAAAATAATCTACCAAAAATCAAACTATTTATAAATAAATCAAGAATAATAGGCTTATTTCATACATTTCGTACAAATAAAAATATATATCTAATTATATAAGAATAAAATGGGGCAATATTATTTTAATGTTCACAGTTGCATGTGAGTTCTTTTATTGTTAATCCCATATAGTCATTTGTTATTGTCCCGTTCATGAATCCCCGTTCATAGCATGCATGCCATGGAAATTTCATTAAGTGCCCGTTTATTTAATATTAAAAAATAAATAATTTGTAGATAGTTTAAAGATTTTATAAAAAGAGATTTATATTTTATAGATATTATAAAAAGAAAAATATTACATAACATTTGGTTACTACGATAAAAAATAATTAGTTATTAGTTATTTTTAAGTTTTATAATATCTATTTTGATTTTTTTATAAAAATAATTTATTATTTAATTATTTTAAAATTTTATTATATCTTTGTATATCTTATCTTTTTTAAAATGTTTTCTCTCATTTAGCCTATCAGATTATTTTCAAAAATTATTCAAAGTATGCTTATTAAAATAATCAAAAATTTATTTTCATATTCCGATTTTTTTAAAAAATTTTAAACAAACGTGATAAAAAATCATAAAATTAATTTTAAATAATATAAGATGAAACAAACGAGCCATAATTTCCGTTTGAAAACCAAGAAAACACGATCTAAACCTTCAAAAACTAAAATACTAAGATCAGTTAGGACACAGACTACAAAATAAAATAAAATAATTAATGATTAATAATTATGGAATAAAAATAATTATAATGGCTATATCAAATAAAAATGTCAGCATTATAATTGTAAATATAAACGGCCTCAATGAAATCATAAAGAAAATCAAATAAAACTAAAATAAAAGACCGACCAAGAGATGCAAGTGCATCCATTTGAATATGGTTAAATGAATGTAGTCGCTTGCCCCAACAGATAATAAAAGGTTAAGCACAGTATTGGCCTGTTGGGCAATAATTTAAGGCAAATTGTGGTTCAGAGAAGATTTAAATAATTCTGTGGAATATTGAATTCAAAAAAATTCATATTTTAATTCATTGTTATTCTAAAAATTAATAGGATAATTTTAAAAATGTAATTTTTTGTCTAAAAGAAGTATTTTGATACCCTAATCTTTTTAAAATTTAAAATTCTCATAATTATTTTTTAAAATAATGAAAATTAATATTTCCTGAAATTAATTAAAATTATTATTATTGAAAACATAAATAAGATAAAAATTGGAAAATGAAAATAAAATTCATCTGAATTATATAAAAGATAATTTGGTCCCTCAAAATACCATAATATCATGAAATCTCTAAGGACCTCTTTGTTAATAACTTTTTTTAAAAAAAGACTATTTTATTCTTACTAAAAATAACAAAATACAATTATAATTTTTTTTAAAGAATCACAACTTTTTATTCTGTAAATCACAAGAATTGAACAAGAAATCACAACTTGTCAAGTGTAATTTTTGTTAGTAAAAAAACAAACCCGCATTATAACTTTTGTTTAAGGAATAATAATTTTTATTTTGTGAATCACAAGAGTTGAACAAGAAATCTTAATTTTTTAAGTGTAATTTATATTATTAAAAAATAAGTTATCAAAATAAAAAACTTCATTCACAATTTTTGTTTAAATAATCACAATTTTTCTTAAAAAAATTATAAGAATTGAATAAAAAATACAATTTATTAATAAAAGATAAAATTGTCTTTTCCCTAAAAAAGTTATTAATAAAGAAGTCTCTAAAAACTTCATTAGTATTATAACATTTTGAGAGATTAACTTATCATTTTTATAATTTAAAAATATTTTATTATTATTTTTTCATAAAAATTCCTAATATCTTTTTGGCCAAGAAAAAATCATAATAGTTTAAAGGGAAAGCCAGGTCATGATAAAGACGATTAGGCTAAGTGGCTTACGCCGCGCGAAGAAAAGGAGGGATTACTGGATTAGGCACTTAACGACCTTTCAGTCTTTTCATTAAATTTTACAATGGGAGATCACTATTTTTTGTTTAGTAATTTAAATTAAATTATAAAACGTTAATCATAAAAAAATTTTACCTTGCCACATGTAAAACGTTATTCATAAACAAACTAAATTATATCATATTAAATTGTATTTGTATTTTTATTATTCAGTAATAACTATTTTTTGTTTAGTAATTTAAATTAAATTATAAAACGTTAATCATAAAAAATTTAATTATATTATTATCTTTCTTTTAATTAGTCACCGAATATGAAGTGTTCTTTTTATTGATTATTAATTCTCTGATACTAATTAACCCTGCGATGAGGTTTATTTAATGTTTTGAAACCATTTATTGAATGTATTGAAAGTAAACGGATTTTTTTTCCCAAAAAAAAAAAGAATTATCTATTGGGGCTTTTGTAAATATAGCTCATGTTTAAGTCAAAGCGATAAAATAGTTCAATATTTATTCAAAGAGCAAGACTTGTGTACTTAACTTTATATATACTTAACATATTTTTATCCAATCAAATCAAGACATGAATTTTAATGTGTTAATAATATTAATAATAAAAATTTGATATATAATAAGTAATATGTAAAAGATAAATATGCCTTGATTTAATTGAAAATAAGCATCTTAAGTATATAAAGCTAAGTATATAAGTTTTTTTGTTTTTTATCTTTATCAATGATATTTTATTATTTATCAATGATAAATTCTTTATAAATTTTTAAATTTTTAATGATAAACTTCTTATATATTAATGATAAACCTCTTATATATTAATGTGAACCAGCCATACTCTCAAATTTTTAAAAATTTGGTCCACATTTTCTATGCATAAGATTTTTTTTTTTACTAGTGAACCAATTTATCCTTATTTATTTAACCTTATGAAATATATGCACCATATTACATTTAAAATATAAGGACTAAATTGCAAATTGGGTGAAACGCGGTGAACTAAAAGTTGTGTTTTACCCAACTACAAAACTAAAATTTTGTAAATTTTTATCATTTTTATAATATAAAATTTAAATTTGCAGTACATCTTAGAAATTTGTAAGCATGTCTTATTTAGACTGTTTATAAAAGTTGGTCTATTTATATTTTTATTTCAACATTTGTGTCATCAAATAAATATAATTGTTAGCAATATTTTTTTCTTTCAAAGATGACAACTTTAATCACAATAAAAACAAGTATAATAAAATCGAGTTCTTCAAAATTTAGTTTGAATGATTTTCATGTGCACTATTTATACATTCTGAGAGTATCCAGGTTGATTAAAAAGGAAAAAAAACAATTATGAGTTAGGAATATGGATTAATTTCATGAATCATGATTTTTATGAAAAAACAAGCTTCCAAGAAA